CTTTAATTTTTATAAATAATTTGTATTATGTTTTACTATACTTATTCTCTAGTTGACTTGTAGATCACCAATTAATACTAATTATTTTTTTTATTGCTTTTTTTAGATACTTAAAACAAAGCTAAATATTAGCATTTGGCTATATTGTTTTTGCTATTAAAATTTGTGCAAAATTTTTATCAACTAGAAAAAATATTATACTAAGTAATAAATTATAATAAAAAATATAATAAAAATATATAAATTTACTATAAACTTTGGAATTGGGATCTCATAGTTTAATAGTCTAGGTACCCAACCTTTTATGAATAGGTTTTGTATTTAAGTTCTAGTAAATATATTTACCTACAAATATTTAAATATACTCATACATGAAAAGTCCAAGTAAGTACTTATTTGAAATAGGAATTTCTGGAAAGAGGTTCATTGTGGAGAGATAACACTATGTATAACAAGCAAATATTACTAAGGATTTTATTATCTGAAGATTGTGCATATAAATTCTTAGTTGGCATAGATAGCACCAACAACCTCTAAAGCAGCATTGAGAATTTTGATTGGAAGGATAACTAGATGATAACTAGAATTGAAGTAGTGAGAAAAGTAATGAAACACAAAGGGATCTGTAATAAAGAATTGGCTTTACCAAATTTGAAACACTTCTAGTATTATATAAAACTCACTGGCCAATAAAAAGTTAAAACATAAAGGTGTATATGTGTTGATAGATTTAATGGGCTTTGATCATACTCATATAGAAGTTTTCGGATATTAAGAGAACCTAGACTATTAATATAAGTATAGCTAGCATAAGTATATGTAGTTGTAACTAAGCTACAACTGCTAAGAATCACCATAAAAAGAAACAATAACGTACTTTGCCTGAGATAATTATGTTTTTTTAACAGTTATCTAAATCAAACATCTAAGCTTAAAAAATAAATATTGTTTTTTATACTGCACTAGGAAAGTGGCTTGCAAGGTATTGTAATTATATTAAATTGGTACATATAGTAGTTATTTTATAATAATTCAATATTATCTAGAATTATTAGCATTCGTCCAAGCTTTGATGATTATCTTAGTAATATGCAAGATCTATTAATACAATCACTCTGACAAAAAAAAGATAGATTAGAAACAGAGAATTTACGTTTACGAAGAATAAATAAAGAGTATTTATTAAACATTTAATTAAATTTATTAAACATTATTAATTTTGCCTATTAATTTATAGCTCCAGCTTTTTAAGCGAGGGCAATATTTATCAAGAAATGTCATAATCCATAATGCAAATTAGCCAATTAAGAGACAGGGGTCGCGCACTAGAAATTGAAACAAATACGCAAATTTTGGAAATTATCGATTTACAACAGCAAATATCGGAGCTGAAGAATGAAAATGCTAGTTTTCAAGAAAGTAGTTTTTTTTTTTTTTTTATAAAAAAAAGTAATTGTTTACATAAATTATTACTTGTCAATGGTTCGTAGTCATAGCTAGACTTAAAGCACGGGCAAACGAAATATTTAACGATTTGTAGGGTACGGTCAAACTTTTTCTTGAATTCTCTTTGAATTATCAATTACTGAGTAATATCAATAATTCAAAAAATAATCTATAATCTTGCGTTAAACAGATGACCACAATGATTATATTCTATACATCGTGAAATGACGCCTCTTTCAACAATTTATTAATGTTAAAGAAATATACTAATTTGAAGTCTTTCTCTTATTAGTTACTCCATATCTCAATTTTTGTTTAGCAAATTCTTCATTTTTTCTTTTTCGATTTTGTTTTTCATTTCATTCTTTCGTATTTTTCGTTTCGTCGTAGATTCCGGATCAACAATAGACTAGACAATATTAATTAGAATCATTATTGAATTTTCTCAAATACGTAGTACATTAATCAAAATATTAACAAATTAGTTAATCTTACCTTAACTCGTTTATGTTTTCTTTCCATTCTCACATCCGCCATTTGCTGCCTTACTTTATTATACGCGTTATGATATTGAGTTGTGCCAACACGTTTCTGTAGTAAATCAAGAACTTCTTTTCCAATTGTTTAAGATTATCTGTCATGAAAATAAATACAAGGTTGATGATAACTACTTTTATTAATCATAATAATATTAATTAATTTGTCAATAATTATCTACCTATATCTTGACCTTTGGCTGTCTCATTGTTTATCGAACGATATATAGGTGAGGTTATAAATAAGAGATAAGACGGTGCTAAGACATGCAGGTGACCACTGCGGCAATGCTTGTTCTCTAGAAATAAACGAATTAATGAAAAATAGTAATGAGTTTTACATTGTAAAAAAAATTTTCTGCTATTTATTCATACCTGATAATCAATCTCTTCGTTATTGGATGAAGCGAACCTTGCCTGATATGATAATTTTTTGAATAGCCAAAGCAGGGATAGCTTTATCTTACACTATCGCTTGTTTGGCTACTAATAATCTGCTGTATATTTTTTTCTCGTCATCATCATCATAATTATCTGCATTGTTTACATTATCTTGGTTTTCATTATCGGGTGACAAATAATAAAAACATTTTCCAATGAAAAACAAATTCTTCACAATTTGCGTTGCAAACTCTTGTCCTAAAAGTTCACTTTTCAATTGTGTACAAAATGACGTGGCCAATTTTTTCAGCGATCTTTTGTCAAATAATCGTTTCTTTTGTTATTTGTAGCAATTATAGTTTCTGGATTAATTAATGTTAGCAAAGTATAATCCAAAAAGTCGGCTTGATGCAAACCTTATCCAAAATGTGAATGAAGGATATGCTTTTCAACTAGCATCCATATGTTTTTACATTCCTCAAGATAAATAACAGCTGGGAAAGCGTTAATAAGTTTAGTGAATATATTTCAGAACTAATATTGTATACTTTACTAAAATATGATAACCAGTTAACTACTAGATTACCCAAATAACTGGATTATAAAATTAGTATAGTCAACTTTTTCTAAGTGCAACTTAGAAAAATTTCTTAAGTAAAAAAAAAAATCTTGCATTTAAAGAGAACTTGCATTTAGAGAATATAAGTTTATTATAACTCTATATAGCCTAAAACCAAAAAAACCTATATTTTAAAGAGAATTTAATATAATCTGCATTTAGAGAACATGCACTTAAAGAGTATCAACTGTAATAGATTAATATTTAAAATATTTAGCTAACTTATTGATTAACTTAAAAGATACTGTATTACTACAATTTTTATTATTGTAATTGTCATAAAAATAAATTTAACTATATATTTTTAATACTAATACTGTTAAAAAATAATCAAATAATTTAAAATAATATGCCAAAAATTTAGTTTAAAAAATATTTTTAAATATTTTATAAGGAGTTAATTTATTTGTAGCCATACTATCAAAATAGTTTTTTTTATAGAAAAATTTTGTAGCCATATTAACATTAACATTAGGGTTAGGGTTAGAACTAAGGTTAGGGTTAGGTTAGGGTTAGGGTCTGGTGTTAAGATAGGGTAAAATTGCGAGAGGAGCATTTTTACTCAGTTACACAACAGGGTTACCCTAGTAAAATTTCGAGTTATTGCAGAATTATTGAATACGGCTACGTGTAGCCGTGACTACAAATAAATAATTCCTTAAATAAATATATAATTTGTATAAAAGCATTAAAGCTAAAATTTAAAACCGTTACTCACTTTTCACATTATGTTAATCAGCATATTATATAAAATAAAATATAAAAATACAAATATAGAATAAAAATACATAATCTAATAGTTTTCATAATATGATAAATAAAGAAGTCAGTGCCCGTAAATGGATGAAAAAATTTAGAATAACAATGCATTAACAAAAACTATATACCAATAACGAACAACAACATAATCATGGGGTTATACAATAATCATTAGGTATAAATAAATATTTTTTGAATCTTTAAAAAAAAAAACAATTTTCACGGATGTCACAATAAAGAACAATTTTAGCATTTCTTAATCATAACGCTCTTCTTGAACTTCTCGGTCATCATTGTAACGGTTTTGGTCAAGCATTTCTGGCTGATTTTGCTGATCTCCTCGCTCTTCATCTACTTCATGCTCTGATTCATGTTCAATTTGCTCATCTAATACTTCCGTTTCGATTTCATCCGTATCATCATAATCGCCGTCATCATCATCCTCTTGATTATTTAACCTCATAGTTTCCATCAATGCTTCTATTTCACTAGTCTGTTCACATAAGTATCGGAACATACTATCTGGATTCTTAATCAAGTTATATGGTGTGTCGAATTCAGCAATTCTTCCTTCATCTAAGAATATAAGAAAAGTGTCACAATAAATACTCACATTATACGAAAAAGAAAGTATAAAATACGCACCAAGGACAAGAATTCGGTCAAAGTTTCTAATCATATCAAAGCGATGTGAAATGCATAAAATTGTAGTATGTTGAAACTCATTGCGTATAATTTCCTGTATTTTATTAGTCATCTCTATGTCAATATCGGTTACTGTAAATGATAGAAAATCAAAATTTAATAAAATATAAATTATAAATCAATTAATATTTTTCAATAATATAAAATACCTTCATCCATAATAACGATCTATTAAAATATTAAGCCGGACAAATATAAAATATTTAGTAACAAATACAATATGTTTCATAACATGGCGATGTATATAACAAAATGTAGCAAATACCTTAGATCGTCTTAGTAATGTTCTTGCAAGACAAATTAATTGTCTTTCTCCGAGAGAGAAATTGCTGCCACCTTCGCTAACCGGATCGTCTAAGCTCGTTATTGGTCCAATAATGAAAACTTGACTATTTACTTCCTCGAAATGAACAAGATGAACTCGTCTCAGTGATTCCCATAAATCTTGATCGTTATATTCTTCACGAATATCGAGATTAGACCGAACAGTTCCTTCAAAAAGTATAGGGTCTAATGAAAAAAATATTATATATTAAACTTTATAAACGGTAGTGTAGAATAAAGAAAAAAGAATAGGTGAACTACAGACCTTGAGGTATAATAGTCAACCGTGTCCTTAGGTCTTCTAATCTCAATGATGAAATGTCAATTCCATCAATTACGATTCGGCCTTTAGTAGCTTCAGTCAATCTTAAAAATGAATTTGCCAATGTAGTTTTACCGGCTCCCGTTCTTTATTGGTTAATAATAAAAGTTCAATTAATAAAGAACTTTAAATCATAAGAAATAATTTTTATCACCAATTAAATATATACCTTCCAACTATACCAATTTTTTCTTCGGCCTTGACAGAAAATTTTATATCACTCAATGCAGGTTCATCGTTTGGTGAATAATGAACCGTTAGACCGAATACTTTAATGTTACCATCGGTCGGCCACTGTTTTTAATTAATATTAAAATCATATTGCTTTTTGAAAAAAAAAAGTATACGTGAATTATAAAACATCTAACCGCAGCAGGAGGACGAGTATTCGTAATCACTGAAAAAGGTTCTTGTGGCATGTTAACATATTCTTTAATGTGTTCCACACTAATAGAAGATTTGAATGTGAAAAACGCAAAAAATACATATAATAATGATTTTTAATTATATTTACCTTTTTAAACCAGTATCTACTACAGAGTAATCTTTAATAAGAACCTAGAAGTGATATATATTAATTTTATATTTAAGGGCTATTCTAATAAATAATTAATGAATACTTACGGCCACGATAGGCACAAATCCAAGCGCATAAATCATACAAAAACCAGCTAAACTGGCATCAATACTAGCATACTGCCATAGGATAAAAATACCAA